CAGGAGAAGAATAATCACGTGACTGCAGCCCCTGCTAATGGGGTTTCATCACGCTATTCCACCATAGCCACCTGCTTCAAGTAGCCAGGTAGTGAAGGATAAGATGGATAGAACAAGCATTTAAAATTCAAAATTTGGACTGTACATTTTAGTTCTTTTCAGTCTGCTATTTCATTAACCCTAAATAATCTTATCTACAAGACTTTCTCTACTTTTCCCACATAGCCGTAATCGGCTGTTGAAATCGGCTGGGGTCCTTTCCTCAGAGTTTAGTGGTACCACAGAATGGAGTTGAGTGCTAAGATCAAGGTAGTGCCAATAAGATCAAGGTTTGATGCCCACCAGCAGATTTGCAAAGCAGCAGAGCTGATCTGGTCATTTTACCTCATTCCATCATTTGGTCCTCAATGTTACATGTCTAGAAACTCAATGTGAATTCTTCTCTTGAGAACAGACTCACATATTAACCAAGCTCTTAAGAGTCTGGCGGATGAGTCAGAAATGCAACCTGGTAAATATACTCATTAAGAGTTTATGCAGCAGATCAGCACATTTTCTTCCCTGCAGAAAATAAAACTATGTGGGATGCCAAATTATACCACAAAAATCTTGGTCAGCAGGAATCAGCAAAAAAGAACTAGCTGAATGCTGTGAGTCTTTGATGCCATCCATGTTGTTGTTAGGTGCCATTACGGCAGCTGCAGCATGCAGTGACCGCATGTACGACAGAACAAAATCTTGCTGGCTCTATACCAGCCTCACAACTGCTGCTAATTGAAGCCCATTGTGGCAGTTATTCTGCCAGAGTTGGCCTCTTTCTTGTTGACCTCTACCTGAGCCCTGCTATGGCACTGTGGGTTAATGCACCAGACTACAAATTGGTTTGAACTGCAAGTTCAAGCTCACCAGCCACTATTTGGAAACCGTATACAGGGTTCCTATGGGTCAGAACAAACTAGACGGCACTCAACATCCACCACCTGTGGTGCTGTAGGATAAACACAAGTCTGCAAGGTCAGTGGTTCAAACTCACCAGCTACTCCTCAGAAACCCGATGCCGGATCACTATGAATCAGAACCAAGTTGACAGAATTGAACCACCACCACCACCACAGTGTTACCAAGGAGCCTTGGTAACGTAGTAGGTTACGAGTTGGGCTGCAACCACAAAGTTAGCGGTTGGAATTTACCCTCTGCTCCCATAAAGATTTACAGCTTCGGAAAGCCTTGCTGTGGGTCAGAACCAACTCCACAGCACACACCACCACAACTACCTGCACTTTACCAAGCCTCATGTCCTTAGTAAAGGGACCAGTCTCTCCTGAGAATATGTCCAAAGTAGTGAGACAAAGTCTAACCATCCTGGCTTCCATGGAACATTCTGTACTTCCTTCAAGACAGATTTTTTTGTTCTTCTGACAATCTACGGTACTTGTAGTAGTCGTCTCCAGCACCATTTTTCAACTGCATCAGTTCTTCTGTGGTCTCCCTTATTCATTGTCCAACTTTCACTTGTGTGTGAGGTCATTGATAATACCCTGGCCGGGGTCAGGTGTGACTGCTGCTTCCATGGGCAGTAGTGTGGATCCACGTCAAATGAAGTGTGTGACATTTGTAGCTGAAACAAGTATGAATAGGGAAAGAAGAGGCACCTGGACCTGGACTGGCCACTGCCATGCTATTTCCCCTATATGGAACTCAGACGACCAACATTAGACATGTAGATATGCCAGAACATAGCCAGGTAGGTGGCCAAATTGAGTCCCCGGTGCAAAGTTAGCTAGAAAAAGATGTGGGGGTGGGGGACTAGGGAAAGTGGTTTTGTGTGAAGTTGGGGAAACTTGGTGGCTCATTAACAAACCAGTCCATATCCTGTGGCCACAGTTAAACACATATGAAGACACATATTTGGGGGAAAAACCAAGAACTCTAATTTGGTCTTAATCAAAATAAGAAATGTCTATAGTGCAAGATATTCAAATACTATACAAGAGTATACCATGAAAATACGTTTTTCTTACCTCCTACCCTGTTTTAAGTTTTATGCACCAAGGAATTTCTTTAAATGACTATGTACAAAATTTTACTTCCAGAGACTGATTCCATACATTGTACTGTTGTTGTTGTTAGGTGCCATTGAGTCAGTACTGACTCATTGTGACCCTATACACAGCAGAATGAAACATTGCCTGATCCTGGGCCAACCTCACTATTGTTGCCACGCTTGAGTCCATCAAGGCTGCCATTTGGCCAGTCCATCTTATTGAGGGGTCTTCCTCTTTTTCTCTGACCCTCCACCTTACCAAACATGATATCCTTCTCCAGCGACTGGTCCCTCCTGACAATATGTCCAAAGCATGAGAGATGAAGTTTGGCCTTCTTGGCCTCTAAGGAGCACTCTGGCTCCAAGGAGCATTCTGCAGATTTACGGAGTCCTGCCTGGTACTAGGACTCTGTAAGTTTGAGGACTCTAGGAGATTCTGATCTGTAGTTAGTCTTAGACACCATCAGCCTAATCTAGCCACTCACAGAGGAGGACTGACGCAGCTCTGCTACAGGACAGACCCCTTACTTGGGCTCCAGAAAAGATCTTTAACATGCCCCTGTAAAGCTGCCCTGCGATGCTCTTTATTTATGGTGTAACAGAATGACAGACCTGATTTCCCAGTGACACAGTATTGAATCTGATTAATATCAGTACTGGGAGTGTGGTGGCTTTATACAATATGCACTGGATTACGAACCACAAGGTCAACAGTTCGGGCCCGCCAGCCATTCCATGGGAGACAGATGAGGCTTTCTACTCCTGTTACGATTCAAAGCCTCAGAAACCATCTATTGGGTCACTGTCAGTCCAGACCGACTCAATGGCACTGAACAACAACAGCAACAACAACAATATCAGTACTAGTGCCTGTTCACAGTGAGTCAGCTCTGACTCACAACAACTCCATGTGTGTCAGAGCTGGACTGTGCTCTAGGTGGTTTCCAATGGCTGATACTTCAGAAGCAGACGGCCAAGTCTTTCTTTCAAGGTACCTCTGGGTGAACGTAAATCTCCAACCTCCTGATTATGAGCTGAGCGCCACCCAGGGACAATATGGGCACCTCTTGTTGCTGTTGTTAAGTGCCATTGAGTTGGTTCCCACTCACAACACCCTGCAGAGCATTTCTGAGCATTTCTGACCTGGTGAGTTTTAACTATTGACCTTGTGGTTCAGACTTACCTTGTGATCCATAGCTAATCCAACAGTGCCAGAGCAAGACCCCTAAATGCTACTTAAAGCTACAAAATAGAATGGTCACCAAGGGGGTGTTAGAGAAGGCACGTGCTCACGAAAGGACAGGGAAGTAGCCTTGGAGAATAAGAAGAAATTTCAGGAAGGAAGAGAGACCCAGGAACTGTATAGCTGGCTCTGCAAGTCATAGAGGGTTCAAGGCCTGTTCTCTTGTCATTAGGGTAGTGGTGGTGGTGGTGGTATGCCACCGATTCGGTTCCAACTCACAGCGACCCTGTATGAGGTTTCCAAGGCTGTCAATATTTATGGGAGTAGAAAGCCTCATCTTTCTTCTGTGGAGTGACTGGTTGTTTCGAACTATTGACCTTGCTTTCATTATGGTAGGCAACAAGTAAATATGTTTTGGATGGTTGTTATGTACCGTGGAGTCAGTTCCAACTCATAGCGACCCTGTACAGGGTTTCCGAGGCTGTAAATCTTTACGGGAGCAGAGAGCCTCATCTTTCTCCCACGGAACAGCTGGTAGTTTCAAACTGCTGACCTTGTGGTTTGCAGCCCGATTCGTAACCACTACGCTACCAGAGTTCCTTACGTTTTGGATTAGTGGATGCCAATCAGAGTGGGTGACAGTCAGCTGAGTAAGTCAGAGCGCCTGGAACAGTCTACGAAAGCCTCACAGAGGAAGAATTGTTAATGTAGGTCCTAAAGGATGAGCAGGAAGGGCCCATCCTGGTAAAGGCATTGCAGGAAAACAAGAAGGTAGCACAGAGAGGGAAGCAGGAAACTGGCTTGGATCCTGCAGAGGGTGGTGTTTGGGAGCAGTGAAAACCAAGTAGGGAGAGATGAAGGGTGGCTAGCTTACCAGGGTTAAAATGGGGAGTTTAGATCTGCCGTAAATGATGAAGCATTGGATGCTCTAAGCCAGCGGCTCTCAATAGGGTGGGGAGTGACTTTGCCCTGCAGAGGATGTTTAGCAATGTTTCGAGACATTTTGTGATGTTACTGTGGGGTGAATGCTACTGGCATGTAGTGGGGAGAGGAGAGGCCAGGGATGCTGCTAAACAGATATCCTGCTGTGCACAATCCAAAACACCAACCACGCGGGAGCCCAGACAATCTGAGCATCTCCTTTTTCCGCACTGGCATCTGTGCTGGTTTAGATCACTATACTGTTCTAGAGCTTATACTGTCACTGTGTTATCCCTGCTTCTTCCCTCTGTCTTTCTTTTTCATACCCAATAGAAAAGTAGAAAGAACATTCTAGCAGTTGCATATGTGATAGAACATATGCCATGTTCCATATGCGATGAATCGCAGGTGCTTGAGTCTGTTTTCCTAGCTTAATTTCTGAGATCCCATCTTGTTATCTATTGGGCTTTTGCTTCCCCTTTTCTAGGTCTGTTATATGCAAAAGAATTGAATGATGCAAATCACTTTAGTTTTGTGCACCTTAATGTGATTACTTTACTATCCTAGATGCTTTGGAGCCAAGATACTAGCGAGAATTTTTTTATGCCTTCCTAACTGAACAGAGGTGCTAAGCAGAGTACAGTACAGAGTTTTGTTTTAAGAACTTAACAGCTGTGTATAGGAGCTAAGTGCTTACATCACAATAACTAATGTTGAAAGGGAAAAAAAAAGGAACATAGAACGATAGATCCGAAGCCTTTTCAGAGTGAGGAAGAAGACCTGGAGAGAATCTGGTTGATGAATAGGAAAAGGATGCAGTTCCCAGATGTGGTGCCTTTTTCTCTTTTCCAGTGCTATATGTTCCATATGTACGTTGGGGTACGTGCTGGTGGGGGCATCGGTGATGAGATTGAGGACCCAGCAGGAGACGAATATGAGATCTATCGCATCATCTTCGACATCACCTTCTTCTTCTTTGTCATTGTCATTCTCTTGGCCATAATACAAGGTAACCGTCATCCTTAGAGAAGCTCAAGCAAATCTGACATTTTTTATCCCTATATGGACTCTGCTGCCATCCCCAAACCCTGTGGAACACAGTTCTGCTCTGACACACAGGGGAACTCCTTGAGAGGAGCCAGCTCGATAGCAACTGGTCCTGGTAAGAATGTGAACTGTGTTCTGAAAAAGCCAAATAACACATTTCCTTTCACAGTGGCTTCACTCTGACATCTGTAGAGAGCAAAGACGCATAGGGACCTGCAATTCGGGGGAAAATGTATACAGTTTTCTTTGGTGTCTTTTCAAATGATAAAGTGGGAGGAGATTGGGGTTCAAACTAGCTTTGTGACTTTGGATGAGTGAGCCATTTCACCTTTGTGTTTATAAAATGGAAATTATTTAAATCTCTGAGCCATGGGTTTAGTTAGGGATTTTAAATTTTTATTTAATATTTTTTTAATGGTGCACATTCAAGTATCCAGCCCAGCTATTGACAGACTAGGAAGAAAGTTCTGGAGTTCTACCCCTGAGAATTAGCCAGTGAACCCCTGGATTACAACACAGTATTGTCTTAGCTCAATACTGGGCTCAAACGTGGCAACAATTGTGAGGATGGTGCCAGGACCATGCAGTGTTCCTATCTACTGTGCTTGAGGTCTATGTGAGTCCGGACTGACTCTACGGCACCTAACATCGGCAACCAGCACATCATAAATGATGATGGAGCTATCATTGTTGAGTATCTAGCATGAGCTCATTCCACCCTCATAACGGCCTATGAGAACGGTGCTGGTACCCATAATAAGTCTAAGTTACTTGTTGAAAGTACACAGCTACACAGTATCATGACCAGAGTCCAAATCCAGGCAGCTACCCAGAGTTCTTACTTATAACTGTGAACTGAACTGACCCACTCATTGTTTTTTTCCTCTAGAGCAACTTGGAGTACCGTTTTTCTCAATCAGGAAAATCATTCACATTATCTTTTTTTCTGCTTGCACATTTATCCTAAACATTTATCCTGGCTGAAAACCAATATCTATAAATGTGACATCATCCCCGAAGTTCTAGAGACATAAAAATGGCTCTTTAGTTCATTCAGTAAAGAACAGGGACAGGTTTAAAGGACTCATAATCCATTCTTTATGTCTTTACTGAGTGTAGCAGTAATGTGTTGTAGAAGAGGGCAAAGCCATCAAACACTTGGAAGAAAATGTTCAGTTGGTGAGTCTCGGGAGGGGAAATGGCTGAAACAAAGTGCACTTTGTTTCTGATTGAAGAAGTTAATAAATGACGGAAGAGCTTGTTTGTGAGAAACTTGTAAAAGAAATGATTAAAGGCAGATTTTTCACATTTGTTATTGTAAATATGATAATGCCTTATTTCAAAATTAACACTTGAAAGTTTAATTCATGTTTTCTGTAGTTTACAACCTTTACCTCACCAAGTTAAGTAAACCTTTTTCTATTTTAGCACTTAACTTTTAAACACTGTTTCGGTAACTGCATGTTCTTCTGACCTCAAAGATCTCACCCCACTTCTTTAGTAGAAGTATGAGATGTTGTTGTTATTAAGTGCCGTCGAGTCAATTCTGACTCATAGCGACCCTGTATAGGGTTTCCAAGAAGCAGCTACCTTGTGGTTAGCAGTCTAGTGTTCATCCTACAGTGCCACACCAGGAGTTTAGAAGTATGAGATGTGTACTTATAGTTTCACTGTGTTGTGCGGATTTTCCAAGGTGACTGTCCATTTTCCCTTTCCTTGGAAGTATTCACAAAGGTGCTGTGCATGTCATTATATTCTCCAGCTGATCCAACCTATATTGTGTGTAATTAACAACAGGTTTAATTATTGATGCTTTCGGAGAATTAAGAGACCAACAGGAACAAGTTAAGGAAGACATGGAGGTAAAGCTCTCTGTTTCTTACTTTGCTTTTTGGGTTGTGGGTACTGGTTTTGATCGAGAAAATCATGAACTTGGGAACAAAGGGAAGAGGACTGTGTTTCCAATTCCGGAAATGAACATACTGTAATTGAGTAGTGTGCTTGGTTCAGACTGTGGTGGGATGCAGGTGTATGCAAATAGCAGCCTGGCATGCACAAAGGGTATTGCATATACAAGCAGTGCTGTAGGGGGGCCCATCTCCTAGAGGGGCAGCTGACGCGCATCCAGATTGTTGATTCGCGGACAAGTGAGCAGGCAGGTACAGAGGAGTGAGACCAGACTCACGCTCTTCTCCACCTGCCTGTTCACTTGTCACAGAAGTCAGCTCTGAATGCCATGTCGCTGGCGCTGGAGACTAGTTCCTGAGGCCCGGCCCCACAAGAGGGGAGGTCAAGCTGAGGACTTGAAGGTCTTGGAGGTGTCCGATAGCATGGGAGAGAGCAGCATACTTCAGGGAGCCCCCCTAAGCCCACCTTCTATTGTCCATACTAATCGGGGCTATCATTCCTATTGTCCGCGGTGCTGTGGGTCAATGCGCTGGACTGCAAAGTCAGTTTGAACTGCAAGGTTGGTGGTTCAAGCTCAGCCAGCTGCTCCTCAGAAACTCTATACAGGGTCACTATGGGTTGGAACCGACTTGATGACACTTAACAACAACAACCATAAGAAAACTGTCATCTGAGGTTATATACCCAAAGGAAAAAAAAACAAACTAATAAAACCCACCTTTTCTTGAAAGCGTAAGTGATTCAGGGTAATTGAATTAAAGCATCAGGCTCCAGCCACAGGAGCTGGAGAAGGCAGCCAACTAATAAGGAATCTGATAACTCATTTGGGAAATTTATAGCTTCATTTATGGGCTGTGGGAAACAAGAAAAGGGTTTTAAGCAAGGAAGCCATGAGATGATGGATTTGCAGTTTGAAAAGATAACTGTGCTTTAAAGTGTGGGGAATGAATTAGAGTCTGGCAAGACCAGAGGCAGGAAAGTGACTGTCAGCAGTTTATGAGACTGTTGCTAAGATGATTCCATAGAGGTACCAGGGAACTAGATGAATGAGAAGGACTTGGCGATGGACTGAATGCAGGGGACTAAGACGGTGGAGCACACAAGGAGGCCACCAGGTTTGGGGCATGAGCAAGCACGCAGATGGATAATGATGCAGTTACCTGACCTGGGTAAAGCTGATAAGTTGAGTTTTGAGCCTGTTTAGTTGGAGAGACCTCCCATTGGATAGTGTCAAGACCTGATTGCTCTCTTCTAAATTGCCGAGTGATTAGCAGCGGTTAATCAATTGTGTAGGGAACTTTTTCTAAATTCTCTTAATCATTTTGATTCTAGATTCTAGAATCTAGAACATCTTAAACTTGCCTCTGTGATATAAAACAGTTTGATTGGTGGAGAGTGAGCATCTGGAATCCCACAGGATAATAATGATTAAATTCCTTTCAGTTGATAGTGTTTGCAATTCTAATATTAGAGTGGAGTGTTGGTATGAGCAGGTACCATATACAGCCTGCATGGGGTGCGGTATGGTTGCGAGCAGGAAAATATGGACAGACCTGACCCTTGGGGCCTGGAGATGAATATTATTCCCAGTCCAAGGGATCAGTCGTGAATTCTCACTTTCATGGGGAGACTTAGGTTCAGTTCCCGGCCAATGAACTTCCTGCACAGCTACCCCCCAGTGATAAAGTGAAAGCTGGCGTGCTGTTATAATGCTGAACAGTTTCAGTGGAGCTTCCAGGCTGAGATAGACGAGAAAGAAAACCAGCATAAACCCGTACACATCACAGAGGGCACAGCCGCAGTCAGTCCTGTGGACGACACAAGACTGAGCAGCATTTCTTCCCATTGTGTGTGGGGTTGCCATGAGCTGGGGTCTGACTTGACAGAAGCTAACTACAACAGACAGTGCAAACATTAATTGTGTAGCTAGCACAGCGCCTGGCACACAGAAGGCCCTCCTGGCTCTCTCTGCACCCTTTCCTCCTGGGTTATCAGTCGCCCTTCAGTTGGGTACCATGTTTGTAGTCTTACTTGAGGATGCATTCACTTCTGCCAAGAGTATTTGATCAATGTCATAAGCAAGAAGGGTCACTATGCCCGGAAATTGTCACTGAAGCTGGAGTAAATCAGAATATTGCTCTTATCACCCTGCGCTCTTTTGCATCTGTCAACTAACAGCAAGATACATTTAAAGCAGCATTTAAAGTAACATGTCAACTGTTACCTTGTATTCATGTGCTTGGCACAACCTCTGCATTATCTTTCCTGCACATGTATTGAGGAAGGAAAACAGTTCGGCCTACGTGGTAGGTCGCAGGAGAAAGAGGAGGGTTTCTGTGCCCATTAAGTCTCAAAAACCCTAAGTCAGGTGGCTGTGGGTTGGAATACACCTGATGGCAGGGGTTTGGTTTCATTTTCTCAGGTGTTGACTGGAGTCCCTGGGTCTTGCAGATGTTTAGAACACTCAGCTACAAACCGAAAGTCTAACCAGAAGTACCCGGGGAGATAGGCACTTCTGTAAAATCAGCGTTTTTTGGAAAACCCCATGGGGCGCAATCCTCCTGGGACCCTCATGTGATTTTCCTGAATCGGAATTGATTCAGCAACTGTTTTGTTTTGTTTTTATAGTTTGTTTGTTTAAGTGCTGAGTTGTTTTCCTTTGTTTTAATCTGTAAACTCTCTGACATTTTAATATTTCCCTTTGCCTTCTAGACCAAATGCTTCATCTGTGGGATAGGCAATGATTACTTCGACACAGTGCCACATGGCTTTGAAAGCCACACTTTACAGGAGCACAACTTGGCCAATTACCTGTGAGTGTAAGCCATTCCCAGTGCCCACCAGCTCTCCCCCACAGCAGCAAGTTCCAGAAACTTGAGCCAAAGTGCTTTCTTATCTTTACATTTGCATTTCGCCTTCCCATACTTCTGAGAAAAGACCAACAGCTAGTGGCTCTGTTTTCCTCTGAAATAAGTTCACTGAAGAGATCAAGTTTCAGCTCCACATGGGAATGACACATTGTGGAAAGTGAAATGGAAAAGCAGACGAGAGGAGGAAAGTGCGTGCAGACTGTCCCATTTTGAATAGATTCCCTGGCTGCTTCCGAGAGATATGTGAATGTCCATTTTTCTTTTCTGAGGACTTACATATCCTTCAGGCACTCTTAGAAGCACAATTAAAAGATTCATTTAAAAAAAAAAATTCATAAAACACTAGGTATTGCATGGCACACTCCAAAACTTAAGAGCCTGCTGGTCTTACTCAGTTTTGGATGATTTTCATAGCCAACAGGAAATGGAGAGGGGCATCATGGGAAAACAGTGTGGGCTCAGAATTCACAGCTTTATGACTTTAGGCACATTGCTTAACTTTAACGTTAAAACCTGAGTCTCAGTTTCTAAAAAGAGGTTGTTGATGATTCCTGCCCCCGAAGTGCATAGGTGTGAAGACAGATGCTCTGAGCCTGGCAGACAGACTTGACCTGTGGCCACAGTTTACCTCCTTTGAAACCTATTTACACAGAAATTTGAACTTTTGGTCCCCACAGCATGTTTGCCTTTTTCTTTACACAGCAAGTTTGAACCTATTTCTTTACACTGCCAAACAGTGAGAACAGTTAGCACATATAAGGGTCACACGTACACAGAGACATGGGATTAGTATTATAATAGGGGACTCAGCACAGTAGAGCCAGTTGAGAGTCTGAAGGGTATTGCCACATGTTTCTCAGGCGTTAACTGAAGAACTACATGGAAAGTTCCTACATGGAGTCCAGGTGTGGCATTGTAGGATAAGCGCGATTCAAACTCATTAGCCACTCCTCGGAAACCCTATACAGGGTCACTATGAGTCTAAACCTACTTGGTGGCAGTTAACAACAGCCTTTTTACATAACTCATCATTCATATTTCTATTACAAAATAATAAAAAACAACAACTCTGACTTGAAAAAATGGAACTTAAAACAGAAAATGCCACAAAACATGAGAGAAATTCCATTGGAGAAAATGAAATGAAAAGATAATTGTATCAAATGGTCACTGTAAAAATTTTGTGGAAAAATTGACCTTACCGAGCATCTTTTCCGTAATTTCAAAATTTTAAGTATCAAAACTGATTTATACTTAATTGAAACCTGATCAGGAAATTAGAAAGTTGTCCTTAAGCTCATCTTCTTTTGAAATGCATCAGCGTCGATTAGATTTTGACAAAAATGTTTCTATTGCTAACCTGAAACCAAACAGTTTACAGGGTGAAAATCACTCTCCTACTTAGAAAGGTAAAGACAAGAAATCGTACGTATTTCTGGTGCAGTGTAACAATTAATTTTCCAGAAAATGGATTTGTGTTATTCATTTCTGCCCTGACCACATTGACTGCAATATAAAATATACAATGAAAACCTATTTCCTGATTTTGCTGATATTTTAATGCAATCAATTTCTGAAAAGTCTCTCTGTATCTGTAGGTTTTTTCTGATGTATCTTATAAACAAAGATGAGACAGAGCACACAGGACAGGTAGGTGAACAGTGTGACTCTCCTCCAGCCTTGGAGTGATAGAAATGGTAGAATCCCTACATACCGAACAAATGCATGCCTGACAGCTCATGTGTGGAGTCTTCACCTTCCAGTGTTAGTTGTTTTATCATAATATAAAATTCCTGTCATCTTGGATGAGTGGGGAAAACTTGTCTTTATGGGATATATAAAATTCCAATGTCACAAACATGAAAAATGTTATTTTTTAATTGAACTTGTTGAGTCTGGGTTTTGAAATCCCTCATAAGAAAATTGAGTCTCCCTAATTATAGTGTTCTTGATTGCTTAATCATATAGCAGATGATTTCCATTGAACTGCAACTCACAGTATTATTGAGAGTTTAAAATTATTGCATATTAACTGCCTACGGTTCTTTTTGAAAGCTTCCACAACCCCCAATAAGTGTTGTTGAGTTCTAATTGCACGAGTTTGAATTGGAGTCATGGTGTGGTGCTGTAACATAAGCACTAGACTACAAGGTTGGTTTGAATCCCAAGGTTGGTGGTTCAAACTCACCAGACACTGCTCAGAGTGGACTTGACTTGATGGAACTTAAAAAAGGATACAGTTCATAATAATAATATTTTTAAAAGAACCCTCGTATACATAGCTCACAAAAAAAATGTATTTTTGTTACTGTTCTATCATGGTCGGAATGAGGCTTATTTTGTTGTTGTTTATTCCTAGAAGTAATAAGGCTGCTACAGTTAGTCAGGCATCCCTGGATGGTATAAATGGTTAACGCACTCAGCTGCTAACCAAAAGGTTGGCAGTTCAAATCCATCCAGAGGCACCTCAGGAGGACTACCTGGTGGTCTGACTGAGAAATCAGCCACTGAAACCCCTTTGGAGTACAGTTGTACTCTGACACACATGGGTTGCCATATCTGGGGATTAAATCCATTGCAACTGATTTGCAGTTAGGAATGAATCAGGACTTCTTTAATGACTTGAGATACATGTAAAAAAAAACTTGAGTTTCTAACTTATATTTCGTAGTAACGTACATTTTGAGGAATGACACAATGTTAATACTTTTCTTTTCCTTTTACAGGAATCTTATGTCTGGAAGATGTATCAAGAAAGATGCTGGGAATTTTTCCCAGCAGGGGATTGCTTCCGGAAACAGTATGAAGACCAGCTAAACTAAACTCAGACCCCAATCACCTCTAGAAACCAAATTCTCTCTCTCAATCTCTGTCTCTCTCTCTCACTCAACTCTCTTGGAAATATCCTGCTGATTTTACGAATTGCCAAAGTTGAGTGCTTTCTGGGAGCATTGCAACTGTTTCTGAAGACCAGACTGCGTTCCCCCCACCTTTTGTATTTTCGTTGAGAACAGGAACAAAAGAATAATCTGAATTCGTATACAGACAAAATAGGAACTCTGGAAAGAAAATTGTTTTGGACACTGTCTTATCATAAGCCAACCACACAGATTTTCTTCTGAGACTCTGGACGTCTCCTGGAACTGCCGGGTGTCCCCAGAGAAGCATTGTACCACACTCACCTGATCTCTTTAGTTCACCATCCTGAAAGGAACTCAAATGGTCACAGAGCACGGTAGCAGTTAAGAGATTGCTGTGGTCACCAGTTGCAAAGGGAAATAGTGCCTTACTATATGTGGGTTAAGCTATGCAGAAGATATGTGCATGACAAAAAATTATTTTCTTTGTGTTCACCTTTTTTTTTCTTAGATTGATTTTTGTGAGTTGTTTTGATCTCTTCGTGCTTTTCTTTGGTGGGGGAGGGTAAGGAGTGTAGTTTGTGCGTACCCTTTCACAAAACCAGCGGTGTGATTCAGGACCAGAAGAGGCTCTGCTCATTTCAGCTCTCTTCACATTCACCCTCCCTGTGTGCTCCTACTCCTATTTTGGTAATGCTCTGATGCAACATTGCAACTTTATGACATCTTTGTATGAACATAAAAAGACTGCAAAAAATACACTTTGAAAAGAAATAATTCATTGCATGTTCATTATGCAAGTTTAAACAAAAAAGAAAATCTTCAGAAGCAAGTTGATCAATGTGAGAGAACTCTCCTGATAATTGTAGTCATAGTAATAAAGTGTCGTGGGCTGAGCCAGTGTCATCAACCAACAATGTGATACATTATGAACTTGACAGTCATTTTGGGTTTTTCTTTTTCTTTGGCCACCTGTGATCAGTTATTGATTAAGGACTTCTTGTCAGGCCATTTTTTAATATCAAAGCTGAAGCAATATCCATTCAGGGATTTCATCAGTTGCATAACAAAACACAGATGATACTATACATCACTCCATTTTGAGTCCTTTTAAATGTAATGCTGATCTTTACAAATAAAAAGACAGGTTCAGAATGGAGCAAGGTCATTTTGCAAACATTGGAGCTCTTTTATTACAACTCTGCTTGTTAATTTTAGAATTGTAAAACTGCTCTGATTAAACTATTTAACTAACTTTTGCATCCTCTTTTTTCTGTATCACAGCTGGGATGCAGTATCAAACCGGAAGCTTTTAAACTGAGAAGGGTATAGGACAATTCCCAACCCTGCAATGAAACTCTGAACATTACTAGGTTTTCTTGTAACTAAGCGAGTTTTCATGGGGTGGTGATGGTCCAGTAATAGAATTCTCAGCACAGTCATATGGAAGACCCAGGTTCAATTCTTAGCTCACATGCTTCCTACACAGCTCAACACCCATCTGTCAGTAGAGGCTGAACAGTTTTCCATGTTGCTTCCAGACTGAAACAGGCTAGGAAAAAATGCCCAAGAGTCTACCTATGAAAATCAGCCAGTGAAAGCCCTATGGATCACAACAGTCTGAACCCATTGTGCATGGGGCCATCATGAGTCAGGGCCCCATTCGATGCTCCACTGACTTGATGGCATCTCGCAACCACCACCACAAGTAGGTTTGTTGTATTCATGATTGTGAAATCCCAGGGTACCACACATCATAAGTCACTCAGCCCTACCCCTGACTACTGTGTGTATCTTCACCACATTTCTGTCATGGGTCATCTGGATATCTCCAATGAGAAGAAACATCAACATTGCCATAATAGTTCAGTTTTCAGTCTCACAGGAATAGAGTAAGGATCCATTCAGTATCTTCATGTGAAAGAACATTGGTACACTTTCTAAATGCCTTCAAGTCCATTCCAACTCGTAGCCACCCTACATAGAGGTTCCAAGGAGTTTTCCAAGTGGGTTAGAATCGCCAACCTTGTGGCTAGTAGTCCAGTGCTTATCTTAGAACGCCACACCAGGACTCCATTGGTATGCTAGTAAATGGTATACTAAAACACTCAGCTAATAGTTGGACACTAGCCAAGGCCTCTGCTGGGCACTGGTGACGTGCCCTTTGTCATTTTATAGCTTATTGGTACAATAGCAAAGCTATAGCTCCGAGATTTTTCATTTGTCTTTTGGTGTTATTTTTCATTTGAGAAAAGGAATACATTTGGCTTCAGTGTGGCAATTTCTGAGGCTGTTCAGGGAGGTGATCTTATGCTGGGAGGAGCATGAATAAAATAAATCATATTAGCACCATAAAACATCAAAAAATACATTCCACTTTGCCAGGAAACGCTGCCGAGGAAGCATCCATTGGAGAGGAATAAATACATTTCCATTGCCTAAAGTCCATGAAGATTCAGGTATCCTACTTACAACGTCAAAAACAGAGTTGGCGTACAACAGCAGTACAGGGGAAAGGTAAATGAACAAATTCCTGCAGGCCTCCTGATTTTTCACACTAGAACGACAGCCTCCTGAGTGATTGCTCCTGGCTCTTGAGCCAGGAAGATGATGGAGAGAGTAATAAAGAAGACAGAAAATGTGCATAATTAATGGAAAGGAAGCATCACTCAGCCAGGACCCCACCATTGGAGGAAGAATAAAGGAACAGAACCCGGTCACTAGAGAAAGTCACTTCCCAGTCTTGTCATTGGCCCACAACTAGGGGAATGTCTTTTCAGTATTTTTTTAAGACCTCCTAAAACGATATGCAGATGATACAACCTCGCTTGCTAAAAGTGAAGAGGACTTCCAGTATTTACTGATGAAGATCAAACAGCACAGTCTTCAGTATAGATTGCATCTCAATATAAAGAAATCAAAAATCCCCACCACTGGACCAATAAACAACATTCTTATCAATGGAGAAAAGATTGAAGTTGTCAAGGACTTCATTCTTCTTGGATCAACTGTCAACACTCACAGAAGCAGCAGTCAAGAAATCAAAGGCCATATTGCATTAGGCAAATATGCTGCACAAGATCTTTTGAAAGTGTTTAAGAGCAAAGATGTCAGCTTGAGGACTAAAGTGCGCCTGACCCAAGCCATGGTATGTTCAGTAACCTCATTTGCATGTGAAAGCTGGACAGTGAATAAGGAAGACTGTAGAAGAATTGATGCTTTTGAGTTATGGTGTTGGAGGAGAATATTGAAAGTGCCATGGGCTGCCAAAAGAACCAACAGATCTGTTTTGGAAGAAGTGCAGCCAGAGTGCTCCTTGGAGGCCAGGATGGCCAAACTTCGTCTCTCATACTTCAGACATATTGTCAGGAGGGAGCAGTCGCTGGAGAAGGATATCATGTTTGGTAAGGTGGAGAGTCAGAGAAACAGAGGAAGACCCCCAGCGAGATGGATTGGCAAAGTGGCAGCATTAATGAGCTCAAGCATGGCAACAATTGTTAGGTTGGCATGAAAGCTGAAGTCTAGAAATCAAATGACGGAAGCAGGGCTTGATGGCGGCTACGGTGGAGGTGCAGTGAAGGTCGCTGTTAGCAATAACACAAATACCAGGCAGAGCAGATCCAGGGCAGAGCTCCAAAACTCAGAACCACAGAGACAGGAATATTTTAAAGGTTTGAAGGCTTGTAGCTTGTGGAGTTTGGAGCTCAAGTAAAAAATCGCGTACTTTTGAATCTGCTGGGCCGGGCTCGGAGGCCTGCACTGACATCCTGGGCAAAACCAAGCGACAGGACAAAACAGGGGAAGCAGAAACACCTCAGAAAAACGACGTGGGAACCTTGGGACGAAGGTGGACAATATACTTTGTCAGTTTTGATTTGTTCTGATTTTCTTTTTTTTTTTTGGTATCTGGTAATTGGCAGGCTCACTGTTTGCCCACCTCCATTCTGGTGAATAGAGGGAGAGCCGGAGCCAAGTGGCCAATCCCCACTCTCACCACTAGTGGGTTCTTCTGCCATGCATGCGCACAGATACTCAGCCCAAGCGGAGACCTTGGACTTTTATTATGTTTCCTTTTTGTTCTGTTTTTTTTTATCATGGGAAAGAGTAGGAGAGTGGGAAGGGAGAGAAAGAGAGTTTAAAGGCAAAACAGGCCAAAGGTTGGATTGGAGCCTGGCACCTTGGAATCTCTCAGGCAGCTTTGAAGGCAGGAATTTAGGACTTTAAAGCCATACTCATATTAAGCTACAGATTTTTTTCCCCTTCTTTTTCTTCTCTCCCTCTGCTCCCTTTTCCATTATTAGAGACTGCAGCATTCAGTCTGGTTTGTGTTGGTGCTGCTTTTTTCTTTTTCTTTTTCCTCTCATTCACCCCTCCCCCACTGGTGTTGTTTGGCTGTTATATACCCCTCCTTCTGCCTTTGGAGGACTCTTTGTCTCCCTATAATACACAAGAAGAGTCAGCAACTGCTGCCATATAGCCAAGCTACAATCACACTCTATTAAACTCCAAAACAGAGGCAAGAACCAATACCAGCTGCCATATACCAGG